AAATAAGTTGCATCTAAATTTCCACATCTCCAACACTTAGGTTGTAAATTAGAATACATACGAGACAATTTTTGAGGATCTCAATGCCATCTATAAAACATTTTGTAAAAGTTTTCTCTTAGATTCTGTGCTTGAGTAAATTTTACATTTCTGATGATTATCTCCCATCTATCCATCTCACGCTCCCCAGTTTTCTGCCGAGAGTTTCAAGATACCTGCAGGCAAATGACTTTATCTCCTGGCTGGGCCGAGCTGGCTAAGGAGTAATCCCCATCCAGCAACGTTTGCTGTCTCCCTCTGGTTTTGCCAACCGCCACGGGGTTGATGGCTTCGAGGTGGGAAGGATTCGGCAACAAGATGGCGTGAATTGGGCGGTGAGACCCGAAGTCCAGATCCACGGAGGCCGTGAGGTGGGATAGGACGTCTCCGATGGCAGGCGACTTCTCCGGGAATTCGCTCAAGCCTTGCATCTTACGGAACATCAGCTTCGCGGGAAAGCAAGACAACGACATGTCAATCGCCTCGGCAATTTCGAATAATGAAACAGGCAAGGGTTTGGGAAGCATTGGCACAACCGGCTTTTCCTCCCATCCTTGGAGGTTCGGCTGTAGCAAGGCCCTTCTGCTCTTTCTGCACCTCTGTCTGTTTTTTTTTGAGGTCTGGCTCTCCTTCCTTCTAAACCTCTTCGATGACAGCTGGCGTCTTTTCTAAGGGTAGGCATACCAAATCTGCGTGACCCAACTTTAGATCTACCCTGTGGAAGTTGTAGCTATCACGTGTCCTGGCCTAATAGGGTTCATCCAGTGGTGGAATGCCGCCAGTTCACACCAGTTCGGCAGAACCAGTAGCTAATTTTTTTGTTGCTCAGGTCCAGAACGGACTTCCGGAAGCGGCATCCACACAGAGAACCGGTTGTTCACCTATTTGAATCCCACCACAGGGTTCATCCTTACTGAACACTATCTCACAACATCATTATGCAATTTAGCAATAGCAGAAACTGCACTTAAGACTTATTTACTGCTTCACAGTGCTTTACAGCCCTCTCTATGCAGTTTTACAGTCAGCGTATTGTCCTTAACAATCTGGGTACTCATTTTACCGACCTCGGAAGGATGGAAAACTGAGTCAACCTTGAGCCGGTCAGGATCGAACTCCTGGCAGTCGGCAGAATTAGACTGCAACACTGCATTCTAACCCCTGCACCACCAGGAATAGAGTAGAATAGAATAGAATAGAACAGATATTGGAATATAGAATAGAATAGAATAGAATAATAGACTAGACTAGACTAGACTAGACTAGACTAGACTAGACCAGATATTGGAATATAGAATAGAATAGACTAGAATAGAATAGAACAGATATTGGAATATAGAATAGAATAGAATAGAATAGAACTTAGACTTATATACCACTTCACGGTGCTTTACAGCCCTCTCTAAGCAGTTTACAGTCAACATATTGACCTCAACAATCTGGGTGCTCATTTTACCGACCTCGGAAGGATGGAAGGCTGAATCAACTTTGAGCCAGTCAGGATCGAACTCCTGGCAGTCGGCAGAATTAGCCTGCAATACTTCATTCTAACTACCACGCCACCATAGCTCTTTATTTATTCCCAAAATATGTACCACAAGCTGTCCACAAATTCATCCCAAAGGTGCTTTTTCAAGAGTCAACTGGACTTTCTAGGTTTCTCCTTGAAGACGTTTCACTTCTCATCCAAGAAGCTTCTTCAGCTCTTCTTGGATGACAAGCGAAACGTCTTAAAGGAAAAACCAAAAAAGTCCAGTTGACTCTTGAAAAAGCATCTTTGGGACAACCATCACCTGGATGTCTGAGAATCTCCATCGACACATCCACAAATCATAACTTGCTAACCATAAGAGATGGGCTGAACGCAAAGCTAAACAAGTTGTGACATGTAGACATGATGTACAAACCTGAACTAAGAAGCTTTGATGGGCCCCCAACATGAGCTTCAAAGCCAACAGGGAAAGCAGAGATAATTTCAACAATACTTCTTTTTTTTTCCCCAGGGACTTAATTTTATTTACTTTATTTAGTGATGTTCTCATTGTCTCTGGGTCCAAAAGAACCAAAAGAATCTTGATTACTGCCTTGACACCTGATAAAACAATTTCTAGGTGACTTCTGCACACAAAGCCAGAGAATTATTATTATTATTAAATTTATTTGCCGCCCATGTCACCAAAGGACTAATCTAGGTGGTTTACAACAATGAAAAATGAAGAAATAAAAAGAAAGTTTAAGCAAGATGAAAGTAAAGTCATAAAAATAATAATAATAGAACAATAAAATAAATCAGCAAATACATCAATATGACTGACCAGCTAGGTTATTTATTTCTTAGAAATATTTTTAAGACGACTGAAGTTTGAGTCACGGCAATGGACTTATTTTCCTTGTTAGTTTGAGACAGAATAACAGAGTTGGAAGGGACCTTGGAGGTCTTATAGTCCAACCCCTCTGCTCAGGTAGGAAACCCTATACCATTCTGGACAACTGGCTATGCAATCTCTTCTTGAAAACCTCCAGTGATGAAGCACCCACAACTTCTGGAGGCAGGCTGTTCCACTGATCAATTGTTCTGTCAGAAATTTCTCCTTAGTTTTAAGTTGCTTCTCTCCTTGATTAGTTTCTTGTCCTACCTTCAAATGCTTTGGGAAATAAATTGATCCCCTCTTCTTTGTGGCAGCTCCTCAAATACTGGAATACTGCTATCACGTCACTTCTAGTCCTTCTTTTCATTAAACTAGACATACCCAATTCCTTCAACCGTTCTTCATATGTTTTAGCCCAGGGGTCTTCAAACTTGGCCCTTTTATGACTTGTGGGTTTCAACTCCCAGAATTCTTTAGCCAGCGTGCCTAGCTGAGGAATTCTGGGAGTTGAAGTCCACAAGTCATAAAAGGGCCAAGTTTGAAGACCCCCTGGTTCAGCCTCTGGCTCCCTAATCATTTTTGTTGCTCTTCTCTACACTCTTTCCAGAATCTCAACATCTGTTTTTACATCATGGCGACCAAAGTTAGATGCAATAAGGCAGGGGTAGACAACCTTGGCTCTTTTATGACTCGTGGACTTCAACTCCCAGAATTCCTGAGCCAGCATGACTCAGCTTGGAAACCTCTCCCTTTCCCTTAGCATGGCTGGCTCAGGAATTCTGGGAGTTGAAGTCCACGAGTCATAAAAGAGCCAAGGTTGCCTACCCCAGTACTAAGGCATTATAAAGCGGCATTAACACTTCACGAGATCTTGATTCTATCGTTTCACTGCTCATCTAAGCAGCTCCATCAGTCAGAGGTGCTTGGATGGGCAGCAAAACATCTCAAGCAAGAAAAATACATTCAGTTGCCATGACTCAATCTTCAGACAACTTTACGTGGATGACAGAGAATCTGCATCGACATATTTCTAAGATGAGTTCTGGAGAGCCCAGATCAGCTCCCAAGGTCACCAACACAAAACATTCATGAAACTTTTGTCGTTCCACCTCAAACTTAGCCAGCCTGGAGGAAATTGTTTAAAAACCCGTTCCTTTCCTTACCTCAGGGGGAAAGTGAAGAAGACCTGTGAGAAGATTAAGTCTTCCACGATGAGGCATCCCAAGGACGATGTCCGTCACCCCGCTATACGAGCACATCTTCAATAATTCATGGAAGAATCCCATCATGCTCTCCGCACCTTCGCCACCATAGCGTTTCACCGTGGCAAACTTGGTGGCTAAGAAGCGATCAAATTCCTGTGGAACGTAAAATGTTGAAGTTGTGGATTCAATTTGCTTTGTTACTTACCCGAGCTTTTAATACAGGTAGTCCTCGACTTACGAAAGTTCATTTAGTGACCGTTTAGAGCAGGGGTCTTCAAACTTGGCCCTTTTATGACTTGTGGACTTCAACTCCCAGAATTCCTCAGCCAGTGTGCCTGGCTAAGGAATTCTGGGAGTTGAAGTCCACAAATCATAAAAGAGCCAAGTTTGAAGACCCCTGGTTTAGAGTTACAACAGCACTGAAAAAAGGGACTTATGATCATTTTTCACACTTATGACCGTTGCAGCATCCCCTCCCCATGGTCACGTGATCAAAACTCATGATGCTTGGCAATTGACTCATATTTATGACGGTTGCAATATCCCGGGGTCAGATGATCGCTTTTTGCGAACTTATGACCAGCAAAATCAATGAGGAAAGACAGATTCACTTAACAACCATGTTACTAACTTAACAATTGCAGTGACTCACTTCACAGCTGTGGCAAGAAAGGTCATAAAGTGAGGCAAAACTCACTTAGCAACAGAAATGTTAGGCTCAATTGCGGTCATAAGTCGAGGACCACCTGTGTTCACTGCTGAAAATGAATACGTGCAGCCTGTCAGCTGTTGATTTGAAAATAAAACAATAAAAATAGCATAGACTGAATAAAGTCTTAGTTACTGTAAGTCTCTTTCCCTCCCTCTTTAAGTCTAATCCTATACAGTGCAATGATGTCTCACATTTATACTAGCCTGGTTACAGATAACAAATATTATCCCTAGGACAGTCAGCCTTAATATGCTCTGTGGAAATCAGGTGTTTTTTTCAGAACAACGTCCTCAGTTCCTCCTCATTATGGAGATATTTATTCACTGGACTTTGTACGCTGTTCACTCACGTCACCAAATGAATACACAGTGGGCTAATTTGAATCTCAAACAAACTTTTGGGGCTTATCTTCTGCATTTCTATAACAAGGCTTAGATCAGCACGGACTATTTATTTTGTTCTACAAAAAACCAAGATATATATGTGTGTTTTCTTCCTACGCTCAACTGTACAATTTGAGTAATGGATATTGTCAGAGCATGCACAGTCTTATTGCGTTGAGATAACTCAAGAGTAAACACAGTAAACAGTGGTCTATCTTACATTATCTACAATATCATACACCAGGAACAATATACATGCATGTGGTAATACAGCAAACTCCAATACACAGCAGTTACAGCAGGAAACGGACGAGAGAGAGAGACACTCCAGCAAAAGCCTTCCCTTTTATACTCAGGCTCTTAAATAGACACAGACCCTGCTGAGTCATTCCTATCATTGCATCATCCACCTTATATTCCATTACATCGTTACATAAGTTATTTAGCTATTAAATTATTACCCTGACAGATTTTTTTTTCTTTCCAGTGAGGCTTCAAATCAACGCAATAAAGTCTCTGTAAAACACATTAGTTTCTCTATTAGCCAATAAGGAATGCTTGACTTACAGCCACAATTGAGCCCAAGATTTATGTTGCTAAGGGAGACATTTGTTAAGTGAGTTTTGCCCCACTTTACGACTTTCCTTGCCAAGTGAATCCCTGCAGTTGCTAAATCAGCAACCCGGTTGTTAAGTGAATTTGGATCCCCCCCCATTAACTTTACTGAAGGTCGCAAAAGGGGATCAAGAACATTATTTTCTTGCATGCGTGTGCAGACATTTACAATGCACCTGAGATTCTAGCATGAGCTTGGACAAATACTTTTTCTCTTCGGTAGTAAAAGCTTCTTGCTTCAGCTCCTCAAACCGTTTAGCAATCCATTCCTTTTCTTGCATGCTCGATAGCTGGCTGGTCTCTATGGAGATATGTCCGCAGAAGATGTGCCCCAAATAAGACAGGACATCTTCAAGAGAAGCTTCATCCTTTCCCATGTTCAAAAGCCCTGAAGTGGAAAGAATGGCATAACAGGGTCATCTCCGGTCAGTAACCATCCAAGATTCCAACAATGACGCAAATGTTCTCCTTGCAAAAATTCTCAGCTGAGTTTGACTCTTGTGGAGTTTATAGGCCTATTTATGGCAGCTTAAGAGAGCCAATTTGGGCTAATGGTCAAGGCACCAAGCTGGAAACTAGGAGTCTGTGAGTTCTAGTTCCATTTTGGCATGAAAGCCAGCTGGATGGCTTTGGGGCGATCACCAGGAGACAGTGAATTCTAGTCCTGCCTTAGGCATAAAAACTGTCTGGGTGACTTTGGGCCAATCACCAGGAGAGGGTGAGTTCTAGTCCTGCTTTAGGCATGAAAGCCAGCTGGGTGACTTTGGGCCAATCACCAGAAGACAGTGGATTCTAGTCCTGCCTTAGGCATAAAAACTGTCTGGGTGACTTTGGGCCAATCACCAGGAGAGGGTGAGTTCTAGTCCTGCCTTAGGCATGAAAGCCAGCTGGGTGACTTTGGGCCAATCACCAGGAGACGGCGAGTTCTAGTCCTGCTGTAGCCATGAAAGCCAGCTGGGTGACTTTGGGCCAGTCATACTCTTTTAGCCTAACCTAACTCACAGGGATGCTGTTATAGGGAAATTAGGAGGAAGATGTTTGGGATATATTCACCACCTGAAGTTGTTTATAAAACAGTAACAAAGATGGGATGTAAATGGAATAATATACAATATGGAATACAGTTTGCCATTACTCTGTTTCGGGATGTTTTTTTTTTCTTTTTAAAATTCCCAGTCTAGTTTCCAGCTTTAGGGTTTCCTGGTGAACTTCATCCAGGTACATTCAGGGCCCGCTCTGCTTAACATCTGCCTTCTACGATCTTCCACCACTGCAGTAAATGCTATTTCTGAGTTGACATCAGTTGGACACAACTGTAAAAAGACACCCACGAGGATTGTTTGACGTTACCTGTTGTATTGAAAGGGCCTTGTAAGGTTTCCGTCAAAACCTGAATTTCTGGCACCGCGTCCATCACAGCCTGGCCAGCAAAGAGCGGGTTGATTTTGGCAGCTTTGTGCCCATGTTCATGATAGGCAGTCACTAAGCGAGCTAGTCCGTGGTCGGCTGCAAATTAAGAGAAGAATTTTAGCTCGTTTCTAAAACGTAACAGACGATGAGAAAGCATAGGAAGAATCCAAATTTCTTTGATTAAGTCTGGTGCAAGTAAAAAATATAGAGGTATTCCTTGACTTATGAGCACAACTGAACCCCAATTTTTTCTTGCTGAGTGAGACAAATTGTCAAGGGACCTTTGCTCCATTTTACGACCTTCCTTGCCACAGTTAAGTGAATCACTGCAGTTAAGTTGTTAAGTGAATCTGGCTTCCCCATTGACTTTGCTTGTCAGCAAAAGGGGATACTGCAACCATCACAAATACGAGTCTTTTAGAATGGGACAAGGTAAAAGGGAAAATTTGCATGAAAACACCTGGATGGCTTTCAACAATGGAAGCGTTTGTTCACCCGTCCCGAATTAACTATGAGCAAATTGTGACTTATAAAGACATTTTGAATATTGAAGGAAAAGTAAAATCTAGACAAGAACTAGAAGAACAGGGCATCGATCTATCATGGTGGCCACACCTGCAAATTCAAATAAGATATGAAAAAGATGCTAAAACATCTGGATTCTATAAAGAACAGGCAGAATTTGACCAGATACTCTTGGCATCAGATGAAAAATTGATTGAGAAACTGTATAAGTACATGCAAAGTTTAAAGATGGAAGAGGAACAAGTTAAAGAAACAATGATAACATGGGCAAAAAACTTTGGACATAACATAAGAGCTAGAAAACTGGCAAAGACTTTGGGAAAGAAATTCTAAAATAACAAAAGGCGATGGCTTACAAAGAAAACCTATATAAAATGTTTTACAGATGGCACTTACCACCTGTGAGGTTAGCAAAAATGTTTAAAAATATGTCTAGCAATTGTTGGAAATGTAGACAAAAACCAGGCACATATTATCATCTTTGGTGGACATGCCCTAAGGCTAAATGATTTGGTCAAGAATACATGTATGGTTAGAGAAAATGACTAAAAAACAAGTAGATTTTAAGCCAGAATTATTTTTGTTAGGTATAGTTGCAGGAAATTATGAGAAAGAATGTGTATATTTAACGTTACATGTACTAACGGCAGCGAGAATTTTATTTGCTCAACATTGGAAAGACAAAGATTTACCAGCAGAGGAAAAGATAATCAAGAAAATTTTAGAGTGTGCAGAAATGGACAGACTGACACTGAAAATGAAAGAGAAAGAAGATTCAGAATATTTTAGAACATGGGATACATTTTATCAATGGCTAGAAAAATGAGATAGAGAGAAAGGAGTTTAACATGTATTAGTAAGCTAAATATTGGAACCTAGACACAGGGCCGTTTGCTGACCCAACTGTATTTTCAAGAGAATCTTTCAATCTGAATATTTGTTTATAGCATGATGACCCGTTGCCTGGAGGCCGTACGGGTCTGGATGGGGAGGAACAGACTCAGGCTCAACCCTTCCAAGACCGAGTGGCTGTGGTTGCCGGCGCCTCGGCATAGTCAGCTGACTCCATCGCTGACTATAGGGGGTGAAATTTTGGCCCCCTCAGAGAGGGCACGCAACTTGGGTGTCCTCCTGGATCCACGGCTG